AGGCAAAAAAAGGGTACCTTTGATTGGTCATGGTGTTTAGAAGACAACCCCCGGAAACAAACAACAGCAGAGTTTGTCTCAAAATAGAAAAGCCCCCCAAAATGACTGTGCTTGTTTGGTGTTCCTTTAAAAACCAACCAAAGAGGGGGTCCACCGTTTTCAGAAACCCCGCATTGAAATTTGGGTCTGTGTTTGACGCGTTCCCGATAACTACCAACCAACAATGGGGTCCGCCTTTTCGGCGGGGTTGGTTTAAAGGGAAACCAAAAGGACATCCATCATGTTTAGGGTCCCCTGTTTTGGCACATACCCGTATATATATATATATATATGGGCACCACTGCAGCTCTGCGACAAAAAGTTGCCAGGGCCCTGGCAAAGGAATGGCACATGCGCATGAGCAGCCCCAGCTGCTGTTGATTCACACCTCGGCCGCTTTGAAGCGGCAGAAGCTTCCCAGCAGCGATAGGCACCATACTGTGGATGGTTGCGAAATCCCACGAAATGAAACCGTGGGAAACCGTGGCTCGGTTGCGAACTCTGCTCCCCTGCTAAAAGTGAATAACTTTTAGTGGTTGAATGGAAATCCGATTAGTTGGCAAAAAGTTAAAGTCCTAACATCCAAGCAAAATGCAACAAAGGTTGTTTGCTGGCATTCACCGGGGAAGCATCATTCCAGGGCTTCTTCGGGTGCAAAATGGATTCGTCCATGCACAGTATGGGCGTGTCCTAAAGTATTGCACCCCATCCTCATTAAACAAAAAAATCATCTGAGCCAGGGTCACAACTCCTTATAGGCCTATGGTAATGGTTCCCGCAATAGGAATCAATACCATGGTTATTTCTTCTCACAACTCACCCACCGAAAATAAGGGACACCCCTCCCCCGAAAGGGAGAAACCTTCAGCATGGGTCACGCTTGCTTGTGTTTGCCCTGCTATCGTCTAGCAACTCAGGTGACCGACAAAATTAGACAGCTGGGTGGACTCAGCGTCACTAGTGGGCCTTCATTGGCAAATGGATGTATCGTTTTTGAGGGGGCCCACTAAAATGGTGGGTTCCCTTTGGTGTCCTCTTAAACCAAAAAACAACTGTATCCTCAAGAAAAAAAGGCACGCCCAAATATGTTTTACGCTGGAAAGGACCAACTGCCACACAAAATCCGAAGCGGAAACTCGTGCGTCCCTCCCAGCCGCATGGCAACAAGTCAACGGCGGGTGCCGAGCTATCTGGTTGGCAGGTCACTCGTTGCTACGCACTTGGTTGCTGTTGACCCCCTGTAAAAAGTGTTTAACTTTTTGGGGGTTTAGTGGAAAACCCAACTTGATTTCAACCAAAAAGATAAAGTTTTAAAGATCCGTCACCCAATAGCAGTGGTCATAGAAACTCATATCTGCTTCTGCGTTGTTTGCAGCCACTTGCAGCTCGTGCGAATCAGCCGCTTCAGCCATTGCACTGCAAGGAGCGTTCGGTGGCTAAAAACAAAATTATGCGCCCTGCGACTTCAATGATATGTTGTGCTCCAAAGCTTGAACACTTGCACACCCTCGAGCTGAGTAAACCCTCTCATACCAGCTTTACCTTCTCTCCAGGATTTGAATGGGCAATCCGTCATCCGTCCGGATGTTCCTCGTGAGTGCATTGCGTGGATGCCTGGTGTCAACCAAAGAACTTTCACCCTTATCTACTCTTTCTCCTTTCTATTTCCACGTGTTTGTTTTCAGGGGTGTGGTGAAACCATAGGGTACCCTGAGCAATTCAAAACAAGTTGTGCCGAAGAACTCTCACCAGGATCCCTGACACATCCGTTCGCCAAGGTGCGCAGGCCAGTTGATCCGGCCAGGGTCACTGCCAGGCCTCAGAGTCTCGGGCATGCAACTGGCGTCGCAATGAACACCAGAAGTAGATGCCCCCACTTTGACATCCACCCAGTTCTCCGCAGAAGTGGCTGCGGATAAGCAATATGATGAGGCAACCATTCTATATATATATATACACATACTATATACATAAAATGTACTCACATAAACAGAACTTGCAAAAGGGTTGCGGTTGCAGGAGGCCCACGTTGGTCTTCCTAAACTGTTGGATGAATTCCGCCAAAGGCGTATCCCAAAGTAGGACGCAGGGAAACGCAAACAAGGCCAACCGAGGGAGGACCCAAAAAAAAGCCCAGAAGTGCACAGACCTTCACAAAGGAATGCTCCAACAGGAGCATGGGGTACGCATGATCGTCCCGCGATCGGAGCCCGGAAGTCTTGAATCCATCTAGGGTTTCTTCGAAGGGGGACACCTAGCTGAGCTCGCCCCAAACCCATTGACTATTGGTTCTACCAAGGTTACAATAGTCTTTACTGTAACTTGAAGCCAAAATTCCCATTAAACCAGGCAGGGTTCCACCTTATCACTACCAAGGTAGACGTAAATCCAGGGGTTTCCCTTTGGCATCTGGGGGACATCAACCACCCCTGGCCTGGGTTTACGTATACCCCCTGAAACCAGGTACTGGACCCCTGCCAAAATGACACCAACAAAGGGGGGGCGTAAATGTGTTGGGCGCCGCACGCAGCTGTGTGGGCTCGTCCGGCAATTCTGGCATCGCAAGAATTGCAACCCGAAGCGACCGTTGGGGTTTCGGGTTCAGCCCGTTTTTGCGGTTCAGCATTTTGGCTCACTTCCGATCAGGTGGATGTCCACCAAGTGACCGAACTTCTTCCATGCCACTAAAACTATAAAGTCTATGAACTCAGGAAGTGAGTTCGGGGGTTGGCAACCCAAGGTAAGGATTATCATAAGGACTACTTTTGAACAGCCCAGCCCTTTGGTGTTGAGCATCTTCGGGGTTGACGCTGTTGTGGTAGGCCCAGCAGCATACTTCGAGGGTGAACAACTCAAACTCTTTCCCATCTTTTTCTCTGCGCAAGCATTGATGCAAAAGTGCAGGAGCCGGCATGGCATGGTGCAAAAGCAAGGGTTTCATGATGGCTTGCTTCGTGAGCCCAGAATCAGCGGCAGTCCAGAGGTCCTTGAGGAAAACTGCTAGGGGATACCAGGGGTCACGGGTCGGAAGGACAAAAGCCCTTACCCTAAATGCCTGTGGTTGTCAAAAAAATAAGGGTAACTCCAAAAATGGGTTGCCCTGCAAATGGAAGCATGGACTAAAACCTGCCGTCCCATGCTAGTGGTGACTGATTTTGACCCAACATGACCACAGTTTCCCTTTCAGCCTGCTGAGTCAGTTCCAACTCTTAAGGATCGCCGTCGCAGCCAAATGAATTTCTCCCAGAACCTCGCTTTCTGGTGAAACGAGTTCCCCGTTAACTCACTGCCTTGTTCAAAAAAACGCTTTACCACCAAAATGGTTCAAGCCCAAAACGTGTCATTCTGACATTCAGTCCGAGGCGGAACTCACAAACTGAGTTCGAGATCCGCCTCCAACTTTGGCCCCTTCCGCATGGATTTGCACTCCACAGCTCCCCAGAAGGCCTCGCGTCGAATCGTCGAATGGCCAACGGTTCAACTTGACCAAGTCACCCCAATCTGGCTGGTGCTCATTAGGCAATGAATGTCCAAGTCTGGGTGTTGGGCAAATGAACCGGTTTGGGGGATCTCCGAATAAAGGAACAACCATAGACGGGATATAGGGCTCGGTCATTCCATTTCGCATTCCCTGCTGAGAACCAGCATGTAATGGGCAGCAGGACTACTCCAAAGACCCAAGCTGGAATCGAAATTGGGCGCCGTTTCACCCGAGACTGTTGGTTCGATGATGAGAAAGGCTGAAATGTAGGAGGCCTACCCCCAGTAGAGCCATCTGCTAAACTGGCCCAACATGAAACCTGGCAGGAATTCTGGTTGAAACAGCTTTGGTGGTTTCCAATATGGCGATATCATGGAACCACGTTGAAATACACGGCAAATCTCCTAAGGACGTCACAATCAAGTCAGGGAAGTTTGGCCGAAACCCACTACGCAGTCAAATCCAATGTTCTAGGGGTACCTTCCAACCGTTCTTTCCAGGGATCCGGATCTTTTCAGGAAACCATCAAAATCCCAGGGGAAACGGATCCGGATTTTGAAAAGAACGATGGTTGCAAAGAATGGAGAATGAACCTCTAGAAATATGCTTCATATTCCGAAACCTTTCCCAAAACTACGCGAGTCGGGTGTGTGACCTGTCCGGTCGGAGTTGCAAACAGACATGGATGAGGCTGTCGCCATGTCCAAGCAGGGCAGCGTGACACCGGGTGCTTCCACTCAAAAAAGATGTCACAAGCCGTTTGCTTGCTGCGAGACAGCAGCCAAGAAAGGCGACAATCAAGCAACAGTTCTGGCTCAAATGCATGGCAAACACCTCGTTTGGTCTTTCGCCGTGCTCTGTGTCCAATGTCATGGGGGGTGCATTCTGTGTGGTGTTGTCCGTTTCCAAACACGTCCCGAACGAGTCCAAAAGTGCAACTCCTTGTCTGGGTTAGCCATCACTCCCTTGGATATTGCATTTTGTCTCACAACCAGTGGGTATACATCAAGCATGATTTGTGTGCGACAAAGAAAGCAAAGATGTGGGAGGGCTGCAGTATATGTCAGGATATCTCCGGTGAAGCCTTGTCAATGGCCATGAAACCACAATGACAATGTTTTGAATCCCCGCTGGAACCATTTGCCTGCGGAGGAAGACCAACCTATATATATATATATTATAAGCCCATAAACCCTTTGAACCCCCCCCCCAGGATACCAAATCCTTTGGCATGCCGATTGAGTTTCATTTTTTTTTTGTTTTTTTTTTTTTTTTCCGAGGGAATGCTAAAAGCTTTTTATTTTTAGTGGTTTAGTTTAGTGGAACCTATCACCAAAACCAACTAACAACAACTCCATCCAACTCATGTCAAGCGTTGAAGGGACGTCGGCCATGGTGTTTTTCTCCGGGGTTTCCCTTGGCTTCAAAGGAACGCTGGTCGCTCCTCGTGCGCAACCGCCTTCGGGCGCAAAGGACACCGTCAGGTCCTGCCCAAAGCTGACTGCCGGCAGTGCTATCCTTTAAAAGAATATCACTGTCTTTTGTGAGGCCCCTGTTTGGTGGCTTGAAAGGCAAACCAAAACCCTCTTTTGGTGGTTTTAAGGGAAACCAAAACCCGTTTTGGTGATTTTAAAGGGAAAACCAAATCAAAACCAGCAGTTTTAGGGGTACCCTAAGAAAAGACACCCAGTCACCACAATTCGAAAGATCGTGCTCTCTGATTTTAGAGGATCCCACCCTTAGTTTCGCCTTCCGGAAAGCTGACTTCGCTAGGGGTGTTCCCCCTGGAAATGGAAACAAAGCTTCCATGCGAGCTGACAGAGGCCAAAGCTCAGTTGGAGTTGGGAACAAATGCCGTTTGGTTGGGCCTTCAACCGCTTTGACCTTTAGCTTCTTGAAAGGCCTGCCCGCATGATGGAAGTCCTGGGTGATGTTTTGATGAAAACCCTTGTAGGTGAAACCCACCCGCCCACCCCCAGCCAGGCAGTCGCACCCCACCACCCACGCCCGCACACACCACCCACCCACGCACGAACGCACGAACGCACGCACGCAAGGACGGACGGACGGACGGACGCTCGGACGCACAAACGCACAGACGCACGGAAACACAGTGAGACGAGGGGAGGCAAGACAAGGCGAGGCGAGGCGAGGAAGGAAGCCAGCAAGCCAGCAAGCCAGCAAGCCAGCAGGGAGACAAACAAGCAGTCCAAATACAGAACAAACATGGTAGCGAGTCGCGCCAGGCCAGCCTTTGCAGCCAGCCAACCCGCCATATTCAATTGATACATCTCAAAGTGAAGCACTGCGGGTACATTCGCCGACCAATGAAGTGAACGATAAAGAACCACGCCTTGAATCCAATGAGACAAGCTCAAAGCAAAAGCCACTTGAGTCACAATCAAAACCCGGTGTTAAAATGGTCTACCCAGAACCAAATAGAGAATTAAGAAGGCGGATATCCGAAGCTATTTCTGGCAAGGGGATTGTCCCTGACTAACCTTCATCTACCCTGGTGTGATTGTGGCTCACTTGACCAGTAGTGACAGATTCCCTTTAAAACCAACAAGGGATAAACAAAACAAAAAAAACTCTTAAGCAAATGCAACCTTCAACGCAATGCGACAAGCTCAAGACAAGAGCCACTCGCCCCGGTCCTTCAGGCGAAGGCCCAGGTGCCAAAAATTCGCCTTGGGATCCAGCAGCTGCAGTGGCAAATCCACCTGGCCGAGGGATGCGCCCGCAGATGCGAATGGCGCAAAGCGCCTCCCTAGCATGGCAAAACTCGCCGGAGAGCTGCAGGGCTCAGAATGGAACTTGGAAAAAAAGAGCTTTGCACTGCTGTGTGGGTGTTGTTTTGCAGGGGAGTATTGAGACTAGCAAAAGGTTGTGTCGTTTTTCAGGGGAGTATTGAGACTAGCAAAAGGTTGTGTCGTTTTTTCAGGCGAGTATTGAGACTAGCAAGAGGCGCCCATGCGTTGTCATGACCGAATGAGTCAAAACGCTCTTTAAGAGAAAGCCACCCTCCCCAAGCGTAGCCATACGCATGGAGGATGACCTTGAAAGGCTTTGGCTGACTCTTTTGGGGCAAACCACCCTTGCTTCGACGGATTGAGGGGTTACGTCTGCAAAGCTCGCCGTGTAAAATGCGACGGGCACGGCAACCTTTGTGCGCAGAACTCACGGTTCACCATGTTTCACCCCATCCGCCGCTGATTCTTGCTCGGCGAATCAAACAACAATATGGCTGTGGGTCAAAGCCAATGGTACCATTTTGGGGTAGGTGCACCACCCATTTTGGTCTATTTTAGTGAGGATTAGGATGTTCACTGGGGGTACGATTTGGGTTTTGACCCATGGCCATATCCTTCCAACTTGCCGGCCAAACATTTGCACATCCTTTTGTTGCCCGTGAGACGCCATTCTTGCCGGGGAACTTCGAAGTCGCCTGTTTTGGGCGGACACGTTCTGTCCCACATGTGTTTTGCTCTCTTGGTTGCTGTTGACCCCCCTGCAACAAGTTGCTCACTTTTTTGGGGGACGGTTTAGTAGAATTAACTTGATTTCAACCAAAAAGTTAAAGTCTAAAGATCCGTTACCCAATAGCAGTCAAGTTCTGTCCCACATTCTTTTTTTTTCTCCGACGCTCCGACCCCGACTCGGCTGAAGAGTCGCTCGCCTCTGCGCCCAGCACTGCCTGCAGCTGCCAGGGCCGCTCAGCGGCGTCCGGCAGAGCTACGGAGAGCTGGAGGCTCTTCACGTCCACGTGGATGCCTACGCCCCGAAAGTGACGATGGGAACGAGTGGCCGTGCGGCAAAAAATGGGGGAAGGGGGGGCTCTCAACTAAAGTGGATGGTTGCGAAATCCTCTTAGGCACCACCGTTCCGAAACCCTGGAATGATGATTCCCTGTAGTCCCCTGAGGCCCCTAAACTGGGCTGTCCGTTTTCAGATCCCGCCGCTAAAAGTGACTCACTTTTAGTGGGTTAAATGGAAATCCAACCACTAAACACTAAAAGGCTAAAATGCGGCTAAAAGGCTACGGGGATGGCCGGGAACCACCAAGTAAAGTGACGATTGCAGAGCTGGTGGCCGTGTGTCAAATGGGGGTGGGGGCTCTCAACTAAACGCCCTCTGGGTCGGCTTCGGAAGGAGCCGGTGGCCTGATGGTTCCCTGCTTCGGGCTGCTGCTTTTCAATCGACCACGGAAAACCCCAAACTCCAAGTTGGTGCTACACCCGCTTTGCAAGAAGACATACTGTGGGTGGACGAAATATTGCACCGCTTTGAAACCAAGGGAAACCATGATTTGTTGGTATTTGCAGGGAATCATCATGCCAGGGTTTCTTAGGTGGTGCAGGATTTCGTCCATCCACAGTATGTACCCATATTTGCCTCGGCCCCAAAGCGAATCCATCTTCCTAAAACCCAGCTTCCCCACCCTCAAGCAACGACATGCTCCAGCTGCCTCCAGCCCCGTTTTGCGGAAGCAAGCCCCTGAGGCCAGATCCCTCCAGCAGCCCAGCCGCCATGTGGAAACGGCGTGTACATGCACCAACTTGGAAACCAGCTCACGCCGACTCACTCACTCACACAAAAACGCTGCACTGCAAGTTGCAAACCAATTTCACAATACCTCAAAGCCAGCCAAAATCATACTGGCCAACTGCCGGCGGCGCAAGAAGCGTTTTAGGTTTACAATATGGCCATGGGTCAAAACCCAAATCGTACCCCGAGTGAACATCCGATTCAATCCCCACTAAAGTAGGTTCCAACATGGGTGGTGAATTAATTCATCTACCAACCAAAATGGGATCCCAAAACGGTTTAGACCCACAACATCCGATTCAATCCCCACTAAAATAGGTTCTAAAGTGGGTGGTGAATTCACCTAAAGCCCCAACATGGGATCCCAAAACGGCTTCGAACCATGGCCATAAGCGATGGTGAAGCTCAGCACGGGTTCTGAGGCGCCCCGGATCTCAATGCTTGAAAGCAACCGGACCGGAATGCTCAGGTGGACGAGCAGAAATACACAGGTTCTGCGTTTGCAAGAAACAAATAACCAACAGGGTCACTGGATGTCCCCTCTCAAAAGTTGCAATTTTGCTGGACACTGTCACTTTTGGAGGTACCAAAAAGAGACATGAAGGAACCCTACACTAAAACAGTGCGCACTTCTCTTCAAACTCCTTGCCACAAATCCCAACCTGCAACTGCAATCGGCCCCTGCTCCCTGCTAACATTCCGACAGGTTGGAAATGAATGAGCGCGACATACCAGGTAGCTTGGACAAACGAACAAGCGGGGATACGGAGGGAGCGGGGATATGGGGGGGATTCCCTTGACGTCCATTTCCCATATCAAACTTAGTCAAGGTGCATTTAGGGGGAATCCTCCCATATCCCTGGTTCCCCCTGTATCCCTGCTACTTGGTTTCCCTGAGTAGCATGCATTTGGCCAAGGCCGTATTGCACGTGGCCTGAGTTAAATTTGCACGAAATCTAGATCGAATTCGGCGACTTGGTACTGGAAGCAGACGGGAGGCTCTGTTTTAGAATAAGTCTGCATTTCCAATTGGAGGACAACCTTACCATGTCTCTGGGCCTTGGACACTTTCGGGTTTGGGAGGTATTATCTTCAGGACTAATTTCCGGAATGGGTAATGTGTCCCCCGCAGCCAGAGCACAGGTCAGGCTCGATCCCTCTCACTTCAGCCCTCTGGGAAAAATAAACTATGTCCAGTAGTTATAGATTCCCTTTAAAACCAGCAAGGGAAAAAATGTTCATTTCAGAAAATGGATGCTCAGGTGCCATACTGGGGATAGTTACGACTATGGAGCTGAGCTGCTACGCAGGCACTTCAGCAGCAGGGGCTGGGCCGTCTGCGGCAGCTGTGCCCTGAAAGCAGAGAAAAAGGCCAGTACACCAACCACAAACCATAAACCACCGGGTTTTTCCCGGTTCCCTTGCAATGTGTTGGGAACTAGCAGTCCTTTTGCAGGGACCATGACAAGTATATAATCCTCTTGGATGGATACTTCCCTGAAACTGGATTTCGAAATAATTCATGGTGTCTCATTTGTGCCTCTACATTTCAGCAGATCAGCTTGCACGCCTCCCTCTTCGGAAAATCTGTGTCTGAATGGAAAACCCGACTAGTCCCAAACCCCCAGTGGCCATAGGAATAAAGGCCACCCTTTTTGTTGCTACCTATAGAATCTCCATGACCCTTAAAAAATGGGTCCATGACCCCTTAATTTTGGGTAATGACCCCATTCTTTAAGGGTCATGGAGACTCCAGGTAGTTGATTCTGCAGGAAAACCTCAAAACATTGGAACAAAAGGCGCCACTGGGTGTGCGCCTGGTGCAACTGGGCGACCGGCTTTTCTGAGCCAGTGGGCAAACTGGATGATCCCCCGTTTTCGTTGTCAGATCGTGGCAACTTTTAACAGGGTTTCTTTGCATTGCATCTACCTACAGGTTGCAGCACTAAGCACGATGCAGGTAGAAAGTGAAGTGGTGGATGTGTTCTACAAATTCTATGCCATGCTCGTTGCCTGGTTTTCTATCTCACTCCTGGCACCACCCTTGTATGTGTGTGTGTGTGTGTGTCTGTCTGTGTCTGTCTGTGTCTGTTTGCAGGTTTGTGTACCTGTGTGCGCTTGTCTGTGTGCGCTTGTCTGTTGGTGAGGTCCTGGTGAGGGCTGCATGTCTAGACATGTGCAGTTGCAAAAAAGCAACACGTTTTCGCACAAAAAGACAAGGAGAGACGACCGACTCTTCTTCCTTTCCAAATGGCCATGGTTCCAAATCCCGTACCCCTCCGTGAACATCCCAATCCCCACTAAAATGGGTTCCAAAATGGCTGGTAAATTCACCTACCCACCAAAACGGGATCCCAAAACGGTCTTGACCCACAGAAGCTTAGAAAGCTGTGCAGGGCTGTGGGAAATGACCACTTCTGTGATACAACAAAAAGGGCCTCCCAAAGACCAACTCCGGATATAAAGAGGGCATTCCCAAAAGTATCACAGAAGTGGGGATTCCCTTGATCCCACAACCCTGAAGCCGTGCCACCGGCCAAAAAAGAACGTCGAGCCAAGCGCCGGGCGTCGCGGCGTGCGCGCCCATGGTCTGCGCTGCCTGGTCCTCGGAGCGACATACGCCGGGGTAGCTCGGTCCCTGGAGGGAAGTCTTTCATTTGCCTAAGCCCATTGGAGAAAAATAAAAATGTGTCCAGTGGTAATAGATTCCCTTTAAAACCAGCAAGGGAAAAGAAATAAATCATAATAATAATAATAATAATAATAATAATAATAATAATAAATAAATGAAACTTCTTAAGCAAATGGATGTAGTCCTTGACATGGAAATGGAATCCACGAATCGGTGATACAACAGAAACGGCTTCCCAAAGACCCATACAAAGCGGGGATTCCCAAACGCATCACCGAAGTGGTTGGATAAAACCCTGGTCCTCGGCAAGGAGTTGGGTTGTTGGCGTTGGAGTCGGAGTTGGGGTGGAGCTGGAGGAGTCGACTTGAACTTGGGAGTTGGGGTGGAGACCTAGCTGAGTGGAAGTGAATCCTTGGGAAAGGGACGTTGAAAACCCGCTTCTAGGCTCGGAGCAAAGATTTCTTTGAGGTTCGCGGCAAGTGCGCGACTTTTGCACGTGCCCGCGTGGTATGCCCAAGTTGTTTGTTGCATGGCATATCCTAAGAGACAATCGGATGTGAACAGCAACCACTGGCAAAGACTGGCGGCGGCTAACAATTCGTTGTGCACGACCCAAGTTGAGAGTGGTTTGGTGTAAAACTGCCTTCTGAAAAAACGAAAGGTGAGTGTGCTCCATGTTGTCCCCTTCACTACAATGGATTACAGTCAATAGGGACCCTTGCTCGATGCATCCCATGAATACATACATAAACACGCATAAAGCAAAGACTCTTCACCTGAAACTCGCGCGCCCTTCAACAGAAATCGTGCCTTCTCTGCCATTTGATCAAATGATTGCCTTTGGCCTCATGCCAACAATCCTTCATCAGCAACCACGGCAAGCATGAAGGAAAAGAGTGCCCGATGCGTCAATTGTGACGCGAACTGGTTGTACAATCAATGAACCGTGTGTTTCCTTCTCGCTGTCGTTGCGTTGTTGTATTTTCTGTGATGTCATCTTATTTGAGGATATATTATGCTACGTTATGTCATGTTCTATTGTGCTATGTTCTCGTTTTTCTTGTCTTTATGTTTTCCATATTTCTTTCGTTCGCTCATTTTTGCTGCCATGATTTGATTCCTTCCTGCCTTGCTTCTTTCCTTCTGGAGCTATAGATGAGTCTTCTCCTCATGAGCCCAGAGTCAGCACGCGCAAAGCGGTCAACGGCAGCTGATCTCGGACTGGCGACGTCGAGGCGCCGTAATGTCCAGTGAGGAACCCAAACCCAGAGCTTTGTCTCTCGAACAAGTTGGTTTTTGTTGGCGTCTGTTTTTTTTTCCCCCCCCCCCCCCCGTTTTTTGTTTTGTTTTTAACCACCCCAAGCAGGATAGCCTCTCAAAGTAAGACACATCCACCCGGCAACTCCCCGCCTTTCTCCGAGCCGAGGCGCAAAGTCCCGGAGACGGAGATGCAAGATCAAGCGCTGGGCGACGATCTGAAGCTGTAGACCCACCAAGCTGAGCTCAACCTGTCACGAAGGAGGGAGGGAGGGAGGGAGGGAGGGAGAGCAGTACTGCAAACCCCGTCGGTTTTTAGCATGTTGCCAGAATGTGCGGCTTCGAGCCTGCGTAAAACTTGCTCGGAACACATCATAGGCCCTATCCAACTCTGCAACCGAGCAGAGAAGGAAGGAAGCTGGCTTGGGGTGCTGGAACAAAACCGGTGTGTTGTGCTCGCGGAAACCATGGACGAAAGCGAACGCCGATGTCCCACATCATGGAACATTAAACAATTCGCAACGTTTCCGACCCGACACCACGTACACATACAGCATCGCCTCTGCGCTAGAAAAAACGTTTGGATGGCAAAGCAAGCCGTTGGAGGCCTATAGTTCTGGAAGACAGTCACGTCGGTACAAACCCTCATGATCCTCGTCAATCAGTGACCTGTACACCTCCATCGGTGCTATGGAGGGGTCAATTCTAGTGACATTCTCAAAATTACACCATGGTGGTGTTGACGGCAACCATCCCCACATAATTTGTTGAGACCTCAACCACGGCAAGCTCCAAGTCCAGATTCGCAAGTGGAAACCTGCAACATGCCTGCGAGCCACAATCCCACGAGCTCCTTTCCTGAGGGTGTTTGATTCACCTCCTGCCCATCCTTGGTTCATCCTTCATAGGGCTATCCCGATAGACTATCAAATGATATCCCCGACCATAAAAGCTTAGGAGCAGTAACACTGCACATTTGAGCGGTGTCTTCCGGGGTATTTAGTCTGAGATTGCGCCACTGGTTGAAACCAACACTCAGTTTTTTGTTTGTTTGCTTCTTTTACAACCGCAGGGTGTTATATATATATATATATATTTATTTATGTATTTATGTATTTATTGATTGATTCATTCATTCATTAATTAATTAAGTAATTCATTAATTGATTAGTTAATTAATTCATTAATTAATTAATTAATTGATTAATTAATTAATTAATTAATTAATGTATTTACTTATTTATTTATTTATTTATTTATTTATTTATTTATTATATCGCTATATGTGGGTCTGTCTTTTTTGTTGGACCCCCCCCCCGGGCAACAAACCTCTTGGTTTCCCTTGCGGGTTTTATCCCCTCGAGACGGCGCCAGGACTTCTTCGGCAAGATTCCCATATGGCCGTGGGTCAAAATCTCGTACACCAGAGAACACCCCAATCCCCACTAAAATAGGTTCTAAAATGGGTGGTGCACCTACCCCAAAATGGTACCATTGGTTTCGACCCACAGCCATATTGTGCCCTTTTTGGGAAAATAGATGGTACTGTTGATTGAACCACCAATTAAACCAGCCCTCTATTTTTAGAACTCACCACTTGTTCGTATCCCAGACTTCCAGTGGCCAGGCGGGAGGAAGCACCCCTTTGTTGCCAGCTGGATTGAAAGCAACAAAAATGGCCGCCCCCCCGGCTCCTCCTCCAGACAAGCGGAGTCTATCTCAAAGGGCACGTGGATGCCAAAGCTTTCCAGCACGCGCTCCTGGCATTTGTGGCACTAAGCGGATCTAAGTACCCCTGTTGATTAAATCGGGGGCGTCTGTGGTTTAGTGGGGGGGGTTATCACAGAGGGGAACACCCCCTACTGTGGATGGACGAAATCCTGCACCACCTCAGAAACCCTGGAATGAGGAGTTCCTTGTAAATACCAACAAACCATGGTTTACCACGGTTTCAAAGTGGCGCGAACGGATTTCGTGCATACACAGTATTCATGGGCTGGCTCGATTCATGGGTCCGGAGATCCTTTAGCTGGATCTCGATCTCAGAGATTTGAGTCTGGTCCATGCACCTTCCCTGAAATCATGAAATGAAGAGATCCTGGTTGATTGATGCAACCAAGCGCCAATATGGCAAACACGTGAACCCAATGCAGCTCGCCCGCCCCCAACCCCTCCCCAGCGGCTTCGGGCTTCGGCATATCGACGCGTCGGGCTTCGGGACGGACCTGGATCTCCAAGCGCCGCAGTGTGGCGGAGACCCCGAGCAGCGACAAGGCCAACAGCTCGTCATACGGCAGGTCCTCGCCGCACTCGCGCACTCGCGCGGGTCGCGCGCTCGTTCGACTTGAGAGATGGGGGTAAAACCCACTTGGAGTATATTTGTTGGGCCGACAAATAATCAGAAGCGGGCGGGGGGTAGAGGGGGGGGGGGGGAACCGGGCGCGGGGGTTCTCTAAAACTAAAACTTGTTTTGTCATGATGAGCCCATGATAACCCCATGTGAGCTCGCTATAACTCTAGGAGCTGATTCCCCGATCTTTTCAACCATCGTTATTTCCAAAACCAGCCGTTTTCGCTGGGTTTCCGGAGGTTTTCTACAAGGATCCTTGGAAAGAATGGGGAAGGTAGCCTTAGAATAAGATAGGCAACATCATCCATTGACTCTGGCCGTTGCCTCTGACTGCCTTAAGACTTGGACAGTGCCACCATCCATCCCCCTCGTGGCCAAGGGCACTCCTTCTTGGTTAGCGTTCCTAGGCTGTCCTCAGATCCCCGCTAAAAGTTTAACTTTTAGTGGGCTAAATGGAAACCCCCACTCAACAGTAAAAGGCTGAAAGGCCAAGGAACCGGATGAATCGCTGGGAGCCACCAAGTGTAGAGAAAACCCCCCTCCAGAAAAAAAATAACCAAAAACCACCGCAAGGATGTGCCTCAGCAGATATCCCATGAACCTTTTCCGTGAAAAAATCGAAATGAGCTTCAGCCACAGAGCCAAGCAGTGGTGATGCCTAGGAACCTACCTGGACTTGAACCCTGTGGCGGTGTTCGATCTCAGCAAACGAGTTGTTTTTGACCTGTGTAGGGTCTTTTTGTGACCTGGTCAAGGGTCAGGGTCAGCTTTTCACCTGGTCCTTTGACCTCCACGTCCACGTTAGGTTGATTGGGACCCCAACAAACAGGTTGGAGGTCAACAAAAGCGGCGTCCCCCCTTGAGTTGAACAGCGTCCGTTGCCGATGAGCGTTGCAGATGCTCCCCCCTGCCGGCAACAGCAGGGATGAGGCCCTTGCTGCCTGGCTCTTCTTTCAAGAGTGGCCTGCTCAAGGGGACTTCCGCTCCGCTGTGCACAGCTTTCACCCATTCGTTTATGATGCAACTGTGTGCGTCCGACTGAGAGCACAAGAGGCATGTTTGCAAGCCCGCTACTAGCTGGCTGAAGACAAAGATAATTCTGCACAGGATCGCCCTGCGAGGCTGGCACAAATAAAGGGCAGCCAGCTGGTCCAATTGGCCTGAGGCTCAAAAACATAGAGCCAAGACGTGGCAAGGTTTTTCTTGAACTAGAACACCAGCAAGGCCGCCATTTCGAGGCCAAGTGACTAAGTCTGACGACAACCATCCAAGCAGAATCCAGTCCTTGACTACCAATGGAGCCTGTTGCTCCAAGAGATTCACAAAGTGCTGCTTGAGCGCGGCATTTCCCATCCGCACGAGCGTCACAGGATCATGCGGAAAGAAAGGAACAGGAACACCCAACCTTTCCCTTCCTACGGTCAGCTCGACGGCCACTACATTCAAAAGGGACTATACACGCAGTCTTTGTCTCGCGCCTTCTGTCCCTCTAGTCACTTGGTTGCTGCGCTCATTGGCTGACTCCATGGCTAAAACTACACGAAAGAAGCTGCGGGACAGCGAGATCCGGACTCCGAAACGCAATCCAGATCACCGGGCCATGCCGTGGTTGCTGTGACGAGCCCTCTGCGCAAAGTGCTCAACTTGTTGTGGGTCCGATTCGGAACATCCGTACTGTTTCATCAAAGAGGTTGAAGCCCAAAAATCCAACCAAAGAGCCACACAAATAAACGCCTTGAACCTTCAACCGTGTCACAGGTCGTCCTCACCGCCAGCCAGCCCTGACCAGCCCCCTTCCCCCGAGCGAGCGCCGCCTTCCATCGACCGCCCGAGAAAACGCCCGGGACGCTTTTCACCGCGGCGAGCCCCGAACCCCGAACCCTTCGCGGTTCCCAGGGTCCCGGCCACGCGCGAGCAAAACCCGGCCTACCTCCCAAGAGGTGTCTCGCGGCGCCCCTACGCACGTACAGAAACTACCTCCTTGCACCTATGATTCCTGTGGCGGCCTGAATCTGGCTGCATTGAGATCCAAAGTCTGGGAGCCTTCACGAAAAGCGGCCTCATTGAGAGTTTCTGAACTCCTACCCCGGCTTCCAAACTGGCACGAGCTGTTCGGGGACCCGGCTCAATGCACCTCAGAATGCCAGCCTCACGTTCTCGGCCCTCAACGCCACCTGGCAAACGAGTAGAGTCATGCCTTGAAAGCTGCGCCGGATGCCAACAACATTAAACCGCTTGGGCGGAAACCGGATGTAACCGGCATCCAAAAGCATCAACTAGGTGCTCCAGATTTGAGAGGTTCGAATAAGTTGCTACCGTTTCTTCTTTCTGTAGTATATTTTAGTAATTAGGGGAGTTCCCCTCCCCCACAAAAGTTGGTAGAAGGGCACCTAGCTGGGGGACCTTGTCAAGTTGGACGCAGGACTCTGTGCTTGTCAACCTAGGGTAGCAAGCTAGATGCTGGCTCATCGCGGTTGGTTGCTCCACCCACATGTAGGTCATCCCAGCGCAGTCGCGCCCCGAGCAAGGATAAACATTCGAAGCAAGCGGTACTACTGGGGAATTTGGACGCAGGACTCTGTGCTTGTGCGTCAACCTAGGGTAGCAAGCTAGATCGGTTGGTTGCTCCACCCACATGTAGGTCATCCCAGCGCAGTCGCGCCCTGAGCAAGGATAAACATTTGAACATCGTGCTGAAAAGTTAAAGTGCAAGCCTCGGGATGGTCCGAATCTGGAATCCCGGAATATTATCAGGGCCTTCCGTGGCAGTATGCGTTTTTGGTGGATCCACCCCTGTAGGATAGCAACAGAGTAGTAAAAGAGAAATTAAAAGAGTATCAAAAGAGCACCAAAAGAGCACCAAAAGAGTAAAGAAGGAACAACTGGTAAAACAACATGGGGAAACCACAGAAAGCGGCAAATATCCAAACCCTCACGGCAAATACCCCGCCAATACCATCCCCCCTAACTGGGGGGGTGGGATTCATGGTTTCCCTGTCTTTCCCACAGAGCAAAAGGAATTCCAGAACGGGCGGGGATCAAACAAACTCGCTGATCATCCGGAACCTGAACCCCCTGTTCTGCAGTTAAGCACGGATATACTTCGATTGCTTAAGTCCCCAAGGGAAAATTATTTCAGGCGTGATAGACTCGGGAAAATGAAATTACTCTTAAGCAAATGCAAGTAGGTGTGAAGAGCGGCCCGGGCATCCAAGACATGCGTGTCAAAAAAGGAGCTCTTAACACTTGCCCCACTTGGGCAAAGTGGTGGACAAGAATCCCACCTACATGATGTCCGCCAGCTCGGGTCCCCTATTGAAAATGTCACACCCCTGTCTTGAGACGCACCCATTTCACAAACCCCCCCAGTTATTCATCAGGGTTCTTGTCTGGAAGAAAGGAATTCCCCAGCAAAAAGGGGACCCCCTGATTGAATCGATCGGCGGGTTTACGGGGGCAGAAACCTGCACACATTTGGGTGGACCAAATGGATGTTGCCCTTACATTCATAGGGCCCTATCCATCCGCGGTGCAGGGGCTTTTCACCCGTTCATAACTCAAAAGGGTTTGGTTACAGGAACATACAAGAAAAAGCCCCAAAACTCCCTACAAAAGCTGTTCGCCTGTAGAAACTTCCTGTAACCCTTTGATTCACTATGTCCATTGCAGCACCGGTAAATGTCGCATCCCAAGCGCTCCGGCACGGTCCCCGTCCGCAAGCTTCACGATGACCCGGCCCTGCCAAGCACGCGATGTGCCGCAAAAAAAAAGACATCGCCACGCCGGTTCAACAAGAGACCCTTGCCACAAAGTGGGTACGGCAATCCCAGTCCTCACCAATTGTGTAAGCACCCAAATGAGTTTGGGTGTCAACAAATCCAAAAGCCAAAAGGTCCATAACCACAATTCAATCCCCGGATGAAGGCTAGCGAGAATCCCCTTGCCACAAATGGGTGCCTTCGCCGCTAATGCCAATCGGTTTTGATCATGACTCAGGAGAGGATCTGTCCCGCTATTCAGCTGGGCTTGTTTTGGGTTGCTGTCTGCTTGGCTGCTACTCGTTTCCTGGAACAAATACAAGCAAATATGTTCAGTAGCGGTACCTTCCCTTCAAGGCCAACCAGGAGATATAGAACATGATTGATTTCGGCAAATGGAAGGTAGGAGAAAGGGGAAGAGGAAACTAACAACGAGGGCAAACAGGTCCCCAAGTGAATGGGTACAAAATGCAGGTCTGAGCCTGTTGGACGGCCTGCGAGAACCTTCGGGCAGTGGCCCCTCTTGCTTCCCAAACAGCTCTCCAACACTTGCTGGTGCGATGGGTCGGGAATGAGGGAATGAACCTGGGCTTTGGTCTCCTGAAAGGAATCCACCTGTTGGATGGTTTTTTTCGGGTTTGTTCCTGCATCTCTCGCACCAGCAAGAACAGCAAATATCAGGCAAGAAGAAACGAGAGCATGCTCTAGGCCAGCGTGCTAAAAGAATCAAGCAGTTCAGAAACGATCCTTCATAGCCAAATGAGGCCATGTTGACCCCGGATTATTTAACCTCTGCTTATTGGTATGGAGGTGTCACTGGTTTTAGTGGGGATTCATCACTTTTGGAGGGGACACCCCCATTTTTATAAATGGGGGTTGATTAATCCGGGGTCAACATTAATCAAAACCCGATATAAACAAATATGGTCGTAATCCCAGAATCAAGTAAAGAATTGAAAAGGCGGATATCTGCACGCATTTATGGCTGGCATTCTCCCTTGCTCCAATTGCCCGGGTTTTGATTCTGGAACCAACGAAATCCAGACCAAATCCCCGCAGTAAAGGTTCGGCATGCCAAAGTCACCGACTCTGCGCACATACACTTGGGGGAGTGTAAGCGACGCCTGGGTAAACACAGCCGAGGCTGTCGTCTATCCCAATCAAGACGGATTCGCAACAAGCTGACGATGTTGCACAAACATGGCTGGGTCCGCCAACAGGGGGTGTGATGTCGAAACGTCGAAACACTTGCAACTTCAATAAGGAAACTCACCTCCGTTGTAGAAATGCGTTCTGCACATGCGAGTCAAAGGCGGCGTTGGTTGTTGAGTCTCTTGGATGCTGGTATCTATAGTATAAGGATAGGCTACAGAACCAGTAGGTAGGGAATGTCCACGGCTATAAAAGCACTAACCCCTGAAACCTGTCAAGGTTGCATGTTCTTAAAATGCAGGTTAAACATGTGGATCCAAAGTCTCAAGTATCTCCAAATCAAAAGCTGGGGCCGCCCAGCTTCAAACGCAAGCGAGCGACACATCTCTGGTTCCGGC